TGCCGGGTGCCGGTTTGCCGGGTGCCGGGTGCCGGTTTGCCGGGTGCCGGGTGCCGGGTGCCGGGTGATGAGTGCGTTCTATAGTTAAATCATGTTTGATCAGTGCGTATTATGTCTGATTTGTTAAACGCAGTGTACTTTTCCTTTTGGTTCCGTCAATATTTTTCAAAGGCAGCGTTCACTGATCGGTGGCCAGGTCTTTGAGAACGCCGACGAAGGAGAACACTTCTGGAAGGTGAAGAGTGGCTTGTTTTATCATTGTTTTCCGGTGACTCTCTGTGCGCTGTCTCTTTAGTTTGTTTGTTGTCGCAGGCTCCAGCACAACACATGAACTTTAGAGTTGATATTTGGACTGTCAACTACCGTGACTGTGAGGTCATGTCAAATTGCTTTAAGTCAGAGATAAATCTTGGTCCGACATGGTTGCCACCTTTCGCTGACAAGTTAAAATACAAGCCCTTGTCAAATAAACAGTGGGTGCTCATGGCTAATTCTCGTCGCATGAAGTATTTGGACCAGGAGTTGCCCAGCGACCCCAAAGCTCGCCGGAAAGCCTTGCAGAAACTGTACGAGAAGACAAGAATCTCGTAGTGTATATTATATGCACAATTGTTCTCATTCATTGGCGTGCGCCTTGAGTGTATAATTTGTGGGTTAGTGACCCAAGGGTAGAGAGGTCTGTGGAGTAATTTCTTTGTCGTAAGTTGACCTAAGGAAAGGACAAAAAGCAACATGCAAAAAAGGAGCAAGGCCAGAATGTCATGGGAGCAGTTCTTGATGTGCAGCCTTCATCTTCAGGGGGTGGATCTGAAGCCTCTAAAAAGGCTTCACTTTCTGGGGGGTGCGAGATGCCGCCACAACAGGGGAACAAAGTGGACGGCTTTGAGAGCACCAAAGAGTTGAGCTTGGTAGATGGCAAGTTGTCTTGCCATCTTTGCTACAAGATGGAAGAAAAGTTCGTCCATGAGATCTATGCCATGCGTGACTTTGCTCATTATACCTTAAGTTGGTGCTAAGTGTATGCACTATCTTGCCATGGGACACACATGTTTCACAGAGCGTATACCAGTCCCCGTGGTCGGTTTTTGAGTAAGGCCAACAGATGAACAGCTTGGAGCAGCAACTGAAACGGAAGAATATAGAGATTGCGGACCTTAAGCTGAAGCTCCTGGAGTCCTGTAGGAAGCGTTTGGCCAGATAGATTGGAACTCAATCTGAGGTGAAAAAAAGTTAACTGGATTGTCGTTCAGTTTTCTGTTCAGTTTTCCGGCACTTTCAGCTTTAATGTTGACCAACGGCTGTTACCAGCGACACGTGCTGCCAGGTTGGAATGTGAGTGTGAAATCCTATGCACTATGTTTCACTCATACCAACACCGCTATGCTCAATGGAGAAAACGGAAGTGAAGCGTGGCCACCGCCACACCTATAGGACCCATATGTAATGACATAGCACCCATTTGCAAGGAAATTGCCTTATATATATTATAGACCATGCTAGACATCCGTTGGATGAAACTGAGCCTATACATGATCAACATCCATCGTCTGCTCGGCGGAAGCTTCGGAAAACCCGACGCCCACTCTGGGGCCATTCACTGCGAATCCCTTGGGTTCCAAAAACCAGGGTTCCAAGACTTCATCCTCACCTGCGACGTCTGGGCCTGGCGTGGTGATCCCCCCGCCTCCTCCAGGCCCTGCTCTATCATCCAAGCCAGTTGAATCATCGCACGAGGAGCAGCTGCACCTGCGAGGAGCGGGGCTTGGGAGAGCTTGGACTTGATGCGGCCGATGGGAGTGACCAAGTCAGGTTATCAAGAGAGGTTGTTCACAGCCCCCAAAATGGCGCATCCCAGATGCACCACTACAGGGTCCGAACGTTCAGGTCTCTCAACCTCTCTTGGTCTTTGAGGTCCAACTTGGTATCTCTGCTTTGCCCCAGACGAAGCCAGCAGGTCTGATGAGGTCCAAGGCCTCGGAGCTGGTGGCCTTTTCAAGACAAGAAGAATGGCCCCAGATAAAACCACGATATACCACTATAATATTGGTGGTGGTTTCAGATATCTTTATATAGTTTCCACATGTTTCAACCATTTACTTGGGATTTATATGGTTTCCACATGTCTTCACCCGCCGATGATCTTTTCTTCGGTTTCGTTTTAAACCACCAAGCAGACTAGTCAGACTACTGTAGCCATTTGAGAGAAGGACCTCGTAGACATCTCCTTTTTCCATCCTCAGCAAGCCGTCCTTTTCACCACCAGGACGCTATCAGCTTGGAGACCATGGCCAGTGAGGCCATGCTGCACAGCGGATGAGGCCTCGGCTCCGGGGAGTCACACCCAAGCGGAAGCTTGCGAAGACCGGTGAACACGGTGGGGCTTTTGAGTGCTCTTCAGAACCTCCCGAGAAAGAAGGATGAACAACGCGGGTGGGACCCACAACAGCAGGGGTGTATCGTGTTGGGGGGGGTGAAGAAGGATTGAAGTTGAGCTTCCTGGCAGGTTGAAGCCGGTCTGGTGCCAGTCTCCCCTACCCACAGGACCATCTCATCCTCCTTGCGTGTGCGTTTTTTCCATCAGAGAGGCGACCTGTTTGGGATGCCCAAACGTCTTGGCCAATAGTTCCATATAACCCAGAGGCAACCCTGGACCCTCAAATTGCTACATGTACATGTACGGTTCGGTCCAAAACCCTAGCGAACTGAGGGTCCAAACCCTTAGCGAACTCCAGCCTCTGCGAAATGGAATGTTTGGGATATGCCATTGCACCAATTGTGGCATAGCTGATTTGCTACCGAAGTTCACACCGCCTTTGCCGTCAGGACCAGCGCTGCATGAAGCTCAGGGCGAAGCTCCATTCAACGAGTGACGAAGATGCGGGCCAGTACCTTGATCAGCAATGCAGATTCTGATCTTACAAGATTGAAGATTGAGTTGTGAGCAGCCCTTGATTGCTGCCTGCAATTTTGGTATATTGAAGAGGTCAACACACAATCAAATGACAATGCCACCTCCGGACAGCACATGATGGCCAAGACCTTCCATCTACAGTGGTTTCAGAGTAGATAGTAGATGGCACAATCCTCAAAAGGTGGTGTATATGGACCCAATATAAAGTAGTTATACAGCAAGACTTCTTGGGGTGCCAGCGCCATCTACTCTGCAACCACTGTAAACGACTCTGGTTTGCACAGTGTTTCACTTTGAATGCCGTGTGACACGGATTGCCGCATCGTTGGATTGTTGGCGCCGACTGAGGTACCGAGAAACAGCAAATTCTCCATGTCTTGCCACTTGCATGAGCTATTCAAAGAACGGTGGGGGGCAAGCGTTTGCTTCACACAAAAAGGAACAACTACTACCGTAGGTAGGACCATCCGATGGGTGTCCAATGGACTCCCCTACATTGCTTAGGGATCTCCATTGGACACCCTTGGATGGTCCAGGTATAAATTATGTCTTCAATTTGGGGGTCAAGTCTCGCTGTGATTCACAGATCATGGGGAGCGCCGGATGCCGCGCGGCACCGGCGCCGCGCGTTCGGCGGCACCGAACGGTCGGAGACAGCCTGCGCGTGGCTCCTGACGAGACTGCGCCCCAGCTCACCGGCAGTCATAGTTTGGGGGGTTTATGTGTGAAATCCGCACGTAGATAGGAAACCGTTCTTTCAGGAAACACCATTGTTGCACCCATTTGAGGACCTTCGTCCAAAACGTTGACCGAGAAAACATCGAGTCTCCCGTTGGTCGGGCCCCAAAGAGTCTCCCGTTGGCCACGAACTCACGCCTTCAAACTTTTTCACATCATGGTCCTTTTCCCCTTCAAGATCCCAATGGGGTTAGCCGTCACCCAAACGTGGGCCGTGGGCCGTGGGCGTTTTCCATGGGCTTCCCGGCCCCAACGAACATCGACGAACAAAACAACAAACGCAGCGCCCCGTCTCGGTCCCGTCGCCCGCGTTGCGTGGTGAAAAAACCACCACATCCCCGGCCCTGTCGGAACCCTTCGTCCGTCTGCCAGGAGGAAGTGATTTCTTTCCAACGAGTTCGATCTTGTGAAAGAAGAAAGTGCAGCAGAGGTTGAAGAACCCTAGTTCGACTATCCTATAGGTACCCCTAGTAGGGTCCTAGTTCACTTCACCTCTGTAGGAAGCTGATCCGCCGGCCGTGGCGGATCGGAGCACCGTGCGCCGTGCGCGATCGGATGCGTCGAAGGTCGGTGACGCGAGGGGCGCGGCGCCAGCGAGAGGGGCCAGCGATTGGTGTGAAGATCGTTTGGGGCACGGGACATACATATATGTCTCAGCACATCTAGATGATGTGGAGAGATTCGGACCATTTTTTGGTTGAGCCGAAAAGCCCGGGGCTTGGGGAACATCCCATGTTGACGTGGCAAGAATCACCCTGCCCACGTGGCCTGCTTCTCCGGTCGAGACGAGTCGAGCACGCCCAGGCGACAGTCGGAGGGATTTGGAACCGTCGCCGTTGAGCCAGCTGAAGGACGCCCGGTTTGGTGAGCCAGCTCAAGCCGCCGGGTGTGAGCTAAAGGAACCACGATGAACCAAGACTTGGTGCAGGAAGAATATCACCCGCAGTCACCCAGCACAGCATACTCACAGCTAGCGCTAGAGCAATTAGCTGGAATTTTTAAAGTGAATTGTTGGCGCCTTGAAAACGACCGGTCCCCTTAACAGACCGAAGGGCGCCCGATCGAGCGACATCCCATCGAACGAACAGGAGCTCACAGCGAAAGTCGAGAAAGACGATGCGGCTTGGCTTTCGCACAAAGTCTTTCTGAGTCTTTGGCTTTCGGTGGGTCTTTCCGGATCGAAACGAGGATCATGTGGGTCTTTCTTGTCGTGATCATGTGAGACATGGCCCCACTTCAGACATGGCAGAGCATGGCTTGGAAGAGTGGAACCTGGGATCTTCCGGATCTTCCGGATCACCATCGGACTGTTGTGCATCACATGTGGTTCGGCAAACGGAGTTTCTTTTTCTAGCGAGGATAGATGATGAGTTTCTTGTATAACGTTCCGTAGTTGTCACAGATCCTCGCAGCATCTTGCAGCAAGCTGCGACCGGACAGCGACGTCTCGCGACGTCGCACGCCGGACGTCGACGTCGGTTGCCGGGACGGTGTACGTGAAACTCGAAATATTGACGCCAGTACGCCAGTCCTGTGTTTCTATTCCTCTCTGACTTGCTGCTTTCTCGTTTTCAGCTTGGTGTGTCTGGTTTCTTTGAAACCATATTCTCTTCAGCTGCTTCCTACAAGAGAGAGAGAGAGTTGCCTGCTGGATTCGATCTTCCCTTCATCCGCTACCCGGTGAGAGGGTGGAAAACACCAGTCTGCTGGTTAACCACCTATACAATCCTATACATGTTCCTGTTTTTAGCCAGCTCTTAGGTCGGCCATCGCTAGGTGGTTGGAGGCTATCGCTAGTAACAAGAAGCTACTAGGGGCGCTCCTGGCCTTACTAGGAACAAGAAGCTAGGAACAAAGGGCATCGCTACGAACGGAGCAAGGACGCTACGAAGTACCAGCAGTCACAGGAGCTCGGGGTGCGATCCACTCATTGGATGGGACTCAATGCCACTCCTTTGTGTGACTCCGGGACGTCTCGCCCCGAGGCCGCTGGAAGAATTGGTGCCTCACCAGATTGGAACCCAATCACCATCCATCACCACATCCTACAATTGCTTTGTTGTGTTTTGATTTGTTTCAAAACATTTTTTCAAATGTTTTCCCCAATGGCCAGTTTTGTGGACCAAGGGCCTGTCTCTCCCACTTTCGTTGACACTCCCTTTTCGAAGCAGCGACCGAGCTCGATCCGCCCAGGCACGTCGACGTCGTGCGACGTCTCCGACTCACGGTTGGACGGTCCTCCGGAGCGGACCGCAGGCCGCGGACCCGTGCGGCCCGAGCGGTCCGCGTTGCTCGGGCCGCGGAGAATCGGAGATGGATTCCGCTCTGGGCGACGATGTGACTCTGCGAGCTCTCTCGGGTCTGACCGGGACAGTCAGCAAGGATCCGAGCGGAGTGCCCCAACACGGGGCCTGGAAGAGTAACAGTCTAGGCCTAGGCCCTTGCCTGGCGGAAAAGAGTTCACACCGCTAACAGAAGTGCAAGAAGTGTATCTGTATACCGCTGCTTGTTGCAACAGCCACTGATGACATGCTCGCAGCCCCTGAAAAGATTCGTGAGGACGAGAGCATCAGGATGCTCTGGCAGTATCCAGGAGAAGTTTCTGGAGCCATCGCACGAGCCGTGATGACCAGCAAAGTCCTGAGGCTAGCTAGCTGTGTGCCGCGTGAAACGAAAGCAGGACATGACGTCACACGAGGTCCCGGCCCTTCCTGAGTTTTCTCTTGGTCCAAGATGGATCTCTCCTCAGACTTCACACGTGCATCTGGTCACGTGAATCACCTCAAGCCATGTGGATCTGGTCCACCCGATGCGACTCATGGCGACCCGATCCGCGCGACCCATGGCGATCTGGTAGAAGCCGGTGGAGCAAAAACGTCCGAAGGGGGGGGGGTCACGGTGTTTGAGGTCAGCAACCTCACTTCAAACCCATGGGGAGTCACAGCTACGGACGTGGTGCCACTTCTCCAACGGCCCGGCCGTTTGCCCGCAGAATAGAAGGCGCAGGCTCCAGGACCGGTCTCGCCGCCTCGATAAACACACGACTCTCCTTTTTCGTGGGCCTGTCTTTGGGGTATCTGCATCTCGGATGGACATGTTTTCTCAGCGGAGCACGGCGTGACGGCGTCCATTTGGAGCACACGGAGCACACCGAGCGGCCCCGTGCAACTCATGCAGAACCCCCCCCGTCTTGAAACATGCCACGAGCCCGCGCGCGTGGGGAGAGTTCCCCTGCCACTGGCGCCAGGTGGCACAAAACAAGAAAGATGCTGAGGCACGAGATGGAGCCGTCAGAACGGGAGATGAACGGGAGATGTTCGACCATTGGTGGGTAGAAACTGATAGAAAGGGTTGCGACAGGTCCCAAATATCCCCCAACCCCACGATTTCCTACCAGGATTCTTGGTAGAGACCCTGGTCGCGCTCATCATTGTTTGGGACTCATCCATGTCGTCACGCGGCACGCGCTTCGGGGCTGGACGGATCTGGCCATTCTCCCAGCCAAAAGGTAGTACACCCTGGAAGACTAACATGGAACCTGAAAAACACTGGGTTGTAGAGGAAGATAGTCTTCCAAAGGTCCATGCCAAGCCCGGTTCCATGTGGGTCTCTTCCCGGGTCTAGTCCGAAGAGCTGGGCTTTCTGATCCCCGGCCTCCCCTGGCCTCCCCGGCTCCGTCTGAACGAGCCACGAGCCACGTCTGTTTTCTTCGTGAAGGCGCCAATTCGGCTGCCACGAGCCCACCGGTGTCGGCCAGGCCTCCTTGGAGCTTGAGATGAGCTCTACCATCTTCCTACAGAACCGCTCAAACGTGCCGATGGTGGTCCGGGGCGCCCGGTGGAGCAGGGTCAATGAGGGTGAATGAGGGTGAGGGGAGCGCAGCTGCCGGGAAGACATCCACCGAGAACGGCATTGCACTCGTGGATTTGCCATCTATTTATCTATTGGGCCGCCATGTAACATCGGATTCATCCTCATTCAAGGTCAGGTAGAAAGAACAGCAGCTAGCAGGTCATGTGATGGGATGAATATGGAGCCCAAAAGTCAAAGCCTATTTTGGATTATTTTGGATTATGTTGGACTAACACCGATTTCTACCAATTTTATGTTGGACTACAACCAGTCCTTGCGTGCCATGACCCACAGGAGAACAGCACGGTTTCCCAAAGCCAAGAGCACGGCTGTTCGGGCAATCCGGCCAGGCTCGTGCGTCCTGTGCTCGAAACTCCAACACGTCAAACGACACGGGGTAGCAGACGACCGGGGCACCCAAAGGGGGCACCTTCCTATACTCACCAGACCCGGCTGTTTCGGTCGAAGAGGCAGAGTGGCACCTGACTGACTGGAGGTTCAGGAACTCGCTCCAGGTGGAAGAATCGAAGTGGATTGATTTGGTGAAAAGAACTCCAAAATGGCACCAAACAAGACATATACACCTACTTTTCCAGAAGGAGCATAAGGAGCTCGCAGGCTCTCCCGCCGACCTCCCGTCCTGCCTGAGGTGCTCCCGCTCGACGCCGCGGTGCAGAGGGACCGACCAATTGAGGTTCGGGTCGGCGGGCCGACGTGGCGACGTGGGACGCTGTGCACCGCCCCAGGCACCCTGGGAGAGACTGCCACGCGGCTTCTCATGAACTACCATGAGCCAACCGGTCAACTGGCCAACCGGAGGGGTGAGTTTGGGGCGGATCGCCACCTGAGCGGGACCCATAGCATGTCTGGCACCGGACGTGTCTGGGCACCTCCGGCGGAACTCCGGAGGTGACTCGGTGGATTTCCATGGACGAGCCTACAGGGATGCTCAATGGCGAGCCTACAGCCAAAGCATCCTGCACAACAAGAACTGCCCACTGGTGAATCACGGGATATTCTTCTTGTTCTGTACGCGTTCAGAAGATGGAAATGGATCCCAAATGGATCCAGGCAAACTCCTTTGAGGCTAAGATGCTTCCACCTATCCAAGACAGCCAAGAATCTATATAGTTTTTTCTTTTTTCTGCAAGACACTTTCAGATGATCGCTTTCATCTGACACGTCCCAATCTCCTAGAAGTTCCCTCATCGTGAATCCTTCCCGCTTCTGCTCCATTTTGCCGCATAGCATCTGCTGCCACCGCAGCTGGCATTCGTCCTTCCCGTGCCAGTTGACGCCCCAGCGGGCCAGCTCGCTGGAGGCCAGGGGAGACGGCTGGAAGGGCGAGACGAGTGAGACTCAACCAGTGAGCCAAGTGGAGTTCCCCAAAAAGAACCAGGGAAGAGGAGACAATTAATATAGACTGTAGACTGATATAGACGAACACACATCAGTTTTAGTGCTTAAAGGATCTCTCGATAAGGATTGATGGCTTAAGAGTAGTAAGGCCCTGAGATTCAACAAATAACTGATTATATTTATACTATATATACTATATAATATATAGTCTTTTTGTTGGGCATATCACAGAGAAAAGCTTCCAAATGCGGCTCAATCACACAAGACTGGCTCGTGCATGCTGCAGTTTCCTTTGACCTCCTTACTCGGTGCCTCGGTCCCGCCAGTGGGTCACGGGGTCGAGTGGCAGAGCGGCGCCAATCCTCCGGGAAGAAACCTCCAGGTATTCTTTGGAGGGATTTTTTGCTTCGTTGGGAGTACAGTGGTGTGGTGCTGAAGAGATTGGGGATGAGACTGGAGCTGACAGGAAGATGCCCTGGCCGACGAGAACGCAGGCAGCATCGTCTGGCAAAACGGGGGCAAAACGCACCCTCGTCTCCGGATCGCATGCGATCGCCGCGGGGATGGGGATGGGGTCAAAGCACAGCCCACAATGGGCAGGTGATTCTGGTGGATCGCATCCTTAGCAGAAACCGCTGAGTGACCAGATTGTAGGGTTCAGCACAATTACAGACTCCATGGGAGCCATACGTGTAGGCCTACAATGTTGGCATATATGTCATATGGATCCATATGGACCAGCTTCTTCAAAGTGACTCTTAGGAGGCCAAAGTGACCGAACCAACCAGGTTATCAAGTACGACCCTTGCACTCGGACCATCGCCGGTGTCTTCTCTGCCGAGACATCGCCCCTTCTTTGGCCCAGACATGACCTTTGTTTTCACAGGGAAAGAGTCTGTTTTGGGTGGTTGGTGATCTAAAATAGAGGTCACTCAAACTCTAGGTCAAATCTCAGAAGGTGTGGTCATGAAGTACTGCGGCTGACTCCAACTGGAGCGTTTGTTAAGGCCTCTTCCAGAACGGATGGTCCGGGCCTCAATCCGCGAGTCGATCCGATGGGTGAGGGGATGAGCCGACCCGGTTCGTCCGACCGGTGGAGGCTACCAGCACCCGACTTCACAGGTCACCGGTTGAAACAGGCCTAACAATCCTAAAACACGGGTAGTTTGTTCTGGATTCGAACCATTAAATCTAAAGGTTTTTGGAATTCCAGTGATGACGTCGACGCCTCTCTTCGCTCGTTTCAGGTGGAACATAGGCCCCTGGGTCTTCCATGTGCCTCGTCTTTTGTTTCCTACTTCCACAGTGTCGACGGACCGGCATGCGGCACACCCCAAAATCAGCAGGGCAGTGCCAAAATCGTAAAAACAAATAAAAACTCGCAGGAACCTGACATAGAACCTGAAAATCCTTGAACATACACCATTGGGAAGATACGATTCTGTTTGCAAGACCAGTGTTTTCATGTGTTTTCAGGTTCTATGATGTTCTATGTTGGTCTGCAATTGGGTGTATCTCCAGGAAATCTCCACCTGTCTTACTCCCACACCACAAGCAGCTTTTGCTGCTTCAAATCCAGCGATTCGACCATCCATCCCTGGGCGCCGAAGCCGCACCCGGCGGGGTTTCTGGTGGATTCCAAGCTTGGGTTGTTTGATGATGTTTGATTCCCAGACCATCCTTGTGTGGAATATGATCCTCTATAGATATATACAGCATGTTAAATGTGTATTAATAAGTACCATGCATGGATCGTCTGGAATTGGTGTGTGAACGTTCAGGTCTCTCAACCTCTCTTGGAGTGAAACGCCGGCTGAACCGGTCCCCTGCTCACTGTAGCTCGGTGGCCCTGCGCGACACCAGGTTGGTCCTGAGACCCGGCGAAGCGCCACAAGCCGTGCCGCTGTTGTGGTGCGTTGGGCGGCCCAGTGCGACGTCTCGCGGTGGATATGACAGACTTGGAAGGTGGAGCCAACAAGTGGGTGGAGAATGAGATATAAGATGATATATAGTCTACCTCTCCAGCTTCCACCCCCGGTGCCCCTCCTTTTCGGGCCACCGGAGTCGCTCCGGCACCCCTCGGTCGACGGCAGGTGTCGCACCGGGTCTTCAAGGCGCTGCAGGGCGCGCAGCAGGCGGCCAGCGAGGTGCTGGCGGACGTGGCCACTGGGACCGGTGTAGGGTAGGGTGGTGGGGGCAGGGCGGGGGCACCTGAGATGGTTCTTTCAGGTTCTTTCCATGTCAGCTTCCGAACACCACCTGATCCTCCATCCCTTTCAGCAGTCAGGACCGGAACCATTGACTGGTCGACGGACGTCCAGGTTCCCGGTGCGACGGCACGGTGCTGCGTTCCATGTTCCTTCCGTCCCAACGGAACACGGCACGACCTATTGCCACTGAAAGGGGACGAGAGGGGTGAGTCCGCGCTCAAAGCGACGTTCGCAGCGTTTCGATGCTTTTGGGCAACTAAGGAAGGCTCCCATGGGCCTCTGTCGAAGCTGCTGGATGAAGACACTCAGGTGAGGATGCTTTATTTTAGCTATTTTGCAAATTGTCAGGTGGTTTAGCTATGGTTGTGTGATGTTGTGTGCATTTTTTATGCTATTTTTCGACATGATCAAGTGACCCATAACACAAAAACCTGTATATACACTGTAAACAGCCACATGTTTTAGGACACGCAAGGTGAGAAGTGCACGGAGCCTCACTGTGTTCCTTAAAATACACACTGTGTTTTGTGGAAGAACAGACATGTTTTGGCAATTCATCGTCTCGTTTCGTGTGTCGTTTTTCAGAGCAAAATGCAAAATCCCAGTGCCATAGCAGCCAACTCGCCCTCGCGCCCTCTTTCCCCCCGGAAGAATCTTCTGTCGTCACATCGATAACTCATCACCATCGTGTTCTTCTAATCACAGGAACGAGACCAGCCCACACCCACCCGATGTGTTTCATTTTGGTGACTAATCCCTGTCTGGTCTCACCCCCTCGAAACCACCCCAAAGAATCTTCTGTCATCGAGAGAGTACTCATCATGTTGTGAGGTTGATGAACATATGTGAAACCGATCATCATGCTCTCTACAGATCCACATCCTCATCAGAACGAAAGAATCATCCGGTCTTCTCATCCGCCACCAGGTCGATCTAGAGTTGGATCGACAGAGCGATGGTCAAGTCATGAGCACCACTACACAAACCAAGCAGGTTCACTTTCCGACCGGTTCCCTCTCAGATAGGACTGTCGAAGCATTCAGAAGATTGACCTGCAATGACACCGTTGTTCCCCTGTCCCCCACCTGTGTCACGCCACGCGGTTCAAAAAAAGTCCAGCTAGCAACTGTTATAGTTGCCCGGGAAAAGAAACCAAGTGTGCCTTACCCCACAGCCATGGCGTGACTCCACGGCCGGCGTGACAACTTCAATGCAACTTCTCCATCTGGCGTCTCTTTGGGGTCAACACCTATACACCTCACCTGTCAGCTTGCTAGTTTCTTTCCTCCCAAGGCCGATGGATTCTCATGTTCCAACAAGAATAGCTTCTATAATAGTCATTTCTAGTCCATTTATAAGTGAGGAGGGGATGTATAATGGGCACCCACTCCAAGCTCGGCACCTCTTTATGGAACTCCACGGTTTCCAGGATTGTAGGAGGACACCCGGCAGAGTTGGGCCAGAGTTGGGCACCAAACAGGCGATACGAAGGAGTACTTTTTGGGATCCAATCAACCTCAAGTGATTGGAAGGGAAATGGGCGTGCATCAACTTAGGGAGACCTCATGAGACCTCCCAGAATTCAACCCCTTCCGGGAAGGTTCGGAATTCCACGAAAAAGCTTTCAAACCCATTGGTTGGGGATCTCCCTAGTTTAAACCACATAAAACTCCCATCACATACCAGGACCCACTGGAGTTGGGTGGTGAATGGACACCCCGAATCACCTCTAAAGGGCTATCATAGAAGCCCCTTAGGGTGTATCAATAAACCACCCATCTCACTCGGGTGGAAGCGTCTTTTAACGAAGGTCTGGCGCGACGAGTTGGAGCCCCGCTGCGAAGATGCGGCGCTGGCGGGCGCCAGCGTGGCCTTTAACAAGAGCCACTGGGGTGGCAGAGTGGGAGAGGTTTTGGAAAGGCGGAGTGAAGGGAGGGGGTTGAAGTACTGTGAAGAGGGTGTGTGGGGTGTTTAGGTGTTTTTGAGAGGATTGGAGAGGTGTCTTGGGTATTTTGTGATCGTTCTTTGATTCGCTTAAAAGGGGTGATGGAGAATGAATGAGAATGATGTGTTTGTCCTACATAAAACAGCCGGGCATTGGAAGGTGGGATACTGGGTCAACGCGAGTGGAGCAGGGCAGGGCAGCTGGATGAGTTCAACCTCTGGAACCAAAGAGAGAAATGCCTGATGTCGACTCCCATCTTCCAGAAGATGAACAAGATGGAACACGTGGATCTTATTTCGGGGGTTCCAGTCCCGAGCAACACCGGCAAGAGAGGGGCCAAGTTGGCCCCTATATATCTGGCGCATCCGTACCATGTACCTGGGTCCTAGGTCAGGTCTCTCAACCTCGAAAACGACAACCCTCGGTCCTCCTGCGTTCTCACCCCTCTCGCGCGATTGATTGGGGTGTCTCAGCATGTAACCTTCTACTCCCCTTGTGTCTCCGAATCCGCCGAGCAATGCTCGCCGCCCAGGCGCGGCGTTGAAGAAGCCCATGCGACCCTTCTGTTGCTCTTTGGCCGACTTGGAAGAGGCGGGGCTTCCAGGTCTCTGCAGGCGAACAGGAGGCGGAGGCGCTGGGTCCCACCGGTGTTCTTCGGATCGTGACTGGTGAAAGAGAGGTGTGACCCGAGCGCCTGCGCCCCACCTTTTCATATCCGTGGAGAAAGGCTGACCAACTGACTGAGGGGGTCAGTGAAGGTGGGAAGGGCGGAGCCAAGAATGGCAGGACCTTGCCCCACATTGGTATATATATATATATCTCTAGAATGCACGTTGGGGTTTGTTTGGGATCCCATGGGCACGGGAAGTTCCAAGAACTATCCCAACGTGCCCAGGGTACGGTGGACATCTCCTCACACTCGACATATGCCTTGTTGAATTTCAATGTTTTCCCCTCTGGTTGCAGCAAGACCCCAAAAGCCGGAATGACCTCCAAACATGCCAAGAAAGATGAGCAGAACGGCAACCAGAGAGGGAAAGGAATGTCCAACCAGACTTTTGGCAGTGGGCCTTTTATATAATATCAATTTCTTTATCAAAGCTATAACACCGTCCTTTTTTAACATGACAATATTGACATATCATAGGCATATCAACATACGACAATTAATGTATTTCTTAAACAGTCATCAACAAGATATTTCTCAAATAACTTCTCATTAATTTTATATTCTAATTTTTTGTATGATGTTATTCTTTTCATAGTCTGTATAACATCATGTAACACCAAGATGGCCAAAGGCCATGACATGCAAGGACCCTGCTCTCCATGCAGGCCTGCGAAGAGGTGGGCCTCCACCCAACCGTCGCGGCCAGCGAGCCGGAGGAGGCAAAGCAGCTCCGCCCGGAGCTCCGTGGGAGGTCCTTCCTATAGCAGCACGGACTCTACACGGTCCCCTCGCTTTTGTTGGGCTTAGGAAGGACTCCTCCTTGGCATAGGAGGTTGAAGCATGTTGAACCATTGACATATTACTCTCCCTGAGTCCCTAACATGGAAGTTGAACACCACCTGTTTGTAGTGGATGTCATGGTCTTCCTTTCGGGGCCATGGCATCCACGTCACCATGGGGCCGTTCCAGAGAGTGTCATTGGAGGGGCAGAGCTTAGAGAGAGGACATCGACCACAGTCCGAGACATCAGAGTGCCTATGAAAAAGGCGAAGAGGGGTGATCCGGGACGAGGTGGCGTCGAGACCGGGAGAGTGGCGAAGTGGTGTAATCTAGTGGTGTGAAGACCAGTGGTGACCCAGAACAGATGATCATGATCCAGGTGTACACCTCCATGTTTGACCCCAATGCAGCCGATGCATAACTTATATAACTATATTCCATGGATGGTCTGGGTTTGGACACGAGCACCCAGAGTCGAAGCAACTCACCCCGCGACCTCCCATCAACCTCTCTGACTCCGGTGGGACGCACCAAACCCGGGAGGACCCGGAGGACTCTCGCCCACCTTGGAGATGCAGATGCCTAGAGTGGACCTGCAGTGACCATTTTGGAACTTCCATCACCTAAAAACAGGGCGTCGGCGTCATGTTTGTTTTCGCCTAGACTGGACACACCCTGGCTTGGGATGTTGCTATGTTGCTTGATAAGCCTTGGAACCGGCCCAGGTCTTGACCGGGCGACCCGACCGGGCAACCCAACCACCCAAGCTGCTGTTTGCTGTCTCTCCAGGTGGCACCTGCCCTGCAAGGGCTCCTGCAACGAGGTGCCTGACGGTCTCCAGTGCGGGACGGTCCGTTCCAGTGTGGGTGGACGTGGTGTCGAGGGAATTTTGAGGATCCAAACGAACACCGATTCTCCAAGTTCCCCGTAGAGGTACAGGTAGAGTCTTCAAGAAAGAGAAACAAAGACACATGTCCTGTACAGAATAGAGTCCTAGAGGCAACTAAAGGTAGGGAGTTATACAACTACATATGAGCCAAAGCCGAAAGGGGCCAGACATGACACCACTGGAGCTGAGCAGCTCGGCTGCCGCCGAGCAGCTTCGGATCCACCAGGGCGGGCGATTTCCCACTTGTTTCATGGCACTTGCTTTCGTGAGTCGAAGAAGGGGAGAGGATTTGTTTGTTTTTCCAACAACGGCAGAGCCCATCATCTCAACTTTCCGTCACTGCTCGCTTCGTGAGTTCGTGCTCTAACGCTGGATGGATGGATGTGGGAGTGGCGACTCGAGTTGATGCAGAAGATGTGTCCGCAACCTCTCAGACGTCAAACCGTTCGGCGCGACCCCGCCCAGCACCGCCCCCTCCAGCACCACGACTCGTTGCACCCCCGCCGACGGTGTCAGGTTTCAGAGGTGACAGGGACACATGTCCCGCTTCTTGGGGACACGGACAGGGGGACCTGGCGGGGGTATTTCGGGAACCGAGCTCGCGCGCGGTCGCAGAGCTTTTTCAGCGCATGAAGTACCCCAGCGCTTCGGAAGGATTTTGACGTTCCCAATTTTTCCATTGGGCCTCCTCAGAGTCAGTCCCAACCTGTTGGGGATCTTGGGTGAGACCCTGCACCGGCGCTGCCGGGACCTGCGCGAAGCGCTGCGACCCGCAGGTGCCTTGCAGCCCTTGTTGGACGAACACTGTGGGGACTCTCAGGGTGGTGCGACTGAGGGGTGCGACTCGCCTGGCCAAGGGCCTTCAGAGATGGATACCTTGGGATCCAGCCACCCCCATTCCTCTAGGATTCGCAGTCAGAAGAGAGGGAAGGAAGATCCTCGAGCTGTGCTTACCTCCAGGCGGAATGCAGGGCTTTTGGTTTTGCAGGCCACAAACGACATGGTGTGATTGGTTTTTCGCATGGTGAGATTGGTTGGCTACAGCAGGTGCCGGCACCACGCTGTAGTTTGCAGATCGATCTCACTAGTTTCTGATAGACACTTGGCTCGGCCCTCCGCGCGATCCACTCGGATCCTCCTTTCATGTCCCAGGGCCCGTCTCTTCCGATCCCAACGGTTGCCGAAGCTCTGCGCGACCTTTATCTTTCCTAAGAATCCAATCGTAGCTGTCCAAGCGCGCGCGCTTTACATCTGAATGTTGATGGATCAACCCCCTTCAAGAAAAGCCAAGCATCTCATCACCAGGGGTGTCAGCAAGGCTCACAGACCTTCAGTTCCTCTCAGGTGTCCATCCCCCGCCGCTTGGTGCTGCGAGGCCCCTCCGGCCATGCTTGGTCCACATGGTCCATATGGTCGCAGCGGAACCCCTGACCCGATGTTCCGGCGCGGTTCCGCCGTTCCGGCGCGGTTCCAGCGTGGGATCGAAGCGCCGGAGGTTGGAACGCTTTGGTGGGCGCGAAGAAGCTCTCGAGCAAGCAGGATGATGGGCCGGGTCGCTCTTTGGTTCCGGCGGACGGGACGGGAGCGACGCCGGTTGGGGGGAAGAAATTCGTCGCAACGCACTTTCAAGGACCTCTAGGGCATAGGGCATAGGACAGGGTCCCGTTCACTGGGGACAAATGCCTTGCCGTGAAAGGGTGAAATAGGTCACGCGATACTTCTTGGGGCACGTTGAGGGGGTCGTCGTGACGCATTACATGGCTGTAGCCGGACTCTCCCCAAGCAACCCGAGCGCCAGTTCCTTTTCAAGTGGCCTGCTCAACTAAGCTTCCAATAACGCCAGTGTTTGCAAAACAAGGCGACCAACATAGATGCTTCGAGAAGCAGATCGAACCTCAAGATACTAACTATCAAACATAGCACACTGTTTTCATGGCAAATGAGATTGTTTGGCCGAACTCGTTTTGTCCGCCAATTCCACTGGTGTGAACCAGTTGAGACAGGTCTCTCACGGCTGCATCCTTTGTCTCCACCGATCCCACATGGACAGGTCCTTCTCGGTCACCAAAACACCTCAGGGGGGGGGACATGGACAGGTCCGTCGCTCGGCAGGAGATGCTGGGCCGGCGGCTGGATGGACGGCTCCGGGGACTCTGCTCCACCATCAACGGCGTGGGCATGAGTCGACCCAGGTCGGGGGGGGCGGGGTGGGATGGAGTAGACATCCGGTGTGTATCTTTATGGATTCTTTTCTACCCTGGCTGGGTAGACTGGTCCATGTTCCTTGTGATCTGACTGGAAGGTCTCCCTATCCCTATTTTACACACACCCACATGTGGAGAAGTGTTTGGGTCTACGCGGGGCGACGATTTGGGGAGGCAACGACATCTTGGTCAAGTGCCTCCGGTCGAGAGTGGGTGGTGCCCTAATTACAAGTCTTCAAAGACATCATTTTATTGGATGATCATGATGATCATACAATAAATTACAACAACAACAACAAAAACAACGTAACAACGTAACAACGTAAAAACAACAACATAACAACAGCATAACAACAACATAACAACAACATAACAACACCAAAACAACACCAAAACAACACCAAAACAACACCAAAACAACACCAAAACAACA